AAACTTTATAAGAAATATATAAAAAGTAAACTATAGTGCATCTCATGAATGAGTGGATATATGTGAGAAAATCCATCAGTACATATGTTACTAAACCCTGTTTACTTCAGGGTTATAAGGTGGTTCAGTAGAAGGAACTATGGTAATGTACAGTAATCTATCAGATCACCCAATTAAATGAGAAAAACTCATAGTAATAGATACTATGTAGACATTTAATAAAAGACACCAGCAGTTCTTAAAAAATAAATAAGTCCTGCCGAAACCGGTTTGGCTCAGCGGTAGAGCATCGGTCTGCGGACTGAAAGGTCCCAGGTTCGATTCTGGTCAGGGGCATGTACATTGGTTGCAGGCACATCCCCGGTAGGGGGTGTGCAAGAGGCAGCTGGTCGATGTTTCTCTCTCATCAGCGTTTCTAGCTCTCTATCTCTCTCCCTTCCTCTCTGTAAAAAATCAATAAAATATATGTAAACTAAGTCCGTTAGAGTAAAACATGAATAAAAGAAAATTTCTTGAATATAAAAAAAAACTACGGGGGGACAGGGCTGAGTGTGGAATGTAGAGGGTTTTTTATTTTATTTTTTTTTATTGATTTTTTTTTTTTTTTTTACAGAGAGGAAGGGAGAGGGATAGAGAGCTAGAAACGTCCATGAGAGAGAATCATCAATCATTGATTGGCTGCCTCCTGCCTCCTGCACGCCCCCCACTGGGGATCAAGCCCACAACCCAGGCACATGTCCCTGACTGGAATCAAACCCGGGACCTTCCATTCCCCAGGCCAACACTATTCACTGAGCCATAAAGTCAGGGCCTGCCATAGGTTTTTTTTTTTGTTTTTTTGTTGTTTTTTTTAAAATATATTTTATCTATTTTTTACAGAGGAAGGGAGAGGAATAGAGAGCTAGAAATACCGATGATGGGAGAAACATCAACCAACTGCCTCCTGCACAACCCCTACTGGGGATGGGCTGCCATCATTGATGGGCTGCCTCCTGCATGCCCTACCAGGGATCGAGCCTGCAACCCAGGCATGTGCCCTGACCAGGAATCGAACCGTGACTCCCTGGTTCGTAGGTTAACACTCAACTGCTGAACCACACAGGCTGGGGTTTTTTGTTTATTTGTTTGTTTTTTAATTTTATTGATTTCAGAGAGGAAGAGATGGCATAGCTTTCTGTTTGACCCTTTCTCTAAGAAAGATACCTTCTGTGCTGTTCTTTTCTCCCACTTTTACTGCCCTGCACATTACTCAGCTCTATCCAGTATGTTTCCAGGCACCTCTTAATACATCCTGAAATTTCAGGTTATTTATTACCAATTTTTTCTTTTCTTTTTTAAATTTATTGACTTTTGAGAGAGAAAAAGGGAAAGGAAAGAGAGAGAGACATTGGTTTGTTGTTCCACTTGCTGATGCATCATTGGTTGGTTCTTATATGCCCCCTGACTGGGGATCGAACCTGCAATCTTGGTATGTCAAGACAAGGCTTTAACCAACTGAGCCACTGGGCCAGGGCCTATTATCACTCTTATTTCTTCAGACTGAATGAGCAGTTTGCCATCCAATATCCATGGAAATATCCTATCAGAGTTGGGCCCAAGTGGGAATGGCATATATTCTCTATCTGGCTAACCCTGATGCTTTGATAACGTCCAGGTTAGTTGGCTGTTCACATGACTTTCCAGGTTATTACCGATGTAATATTAGATTTTGGAAAATGTTAAAGTACTTGTCCTTAATATTTAGTCATGGATAAAACAAACCTTTTTTGTTCTCTCTGTCTCCTGTTCACATCCAGTCTGCCTCTGTCTTAGGCATAAGCCTTTCTGACAACCCTATGTGCACCATAGGTGAACCTCAGACCGATGCGCTACAAGCCCCAGCTCACCATTGCAGACTGCTCTGCCACAGGCTGGCAGCTCACCACTTTTCTGTGTGTGTGACCAGCACATCCTCAGAAGGTAGCAAAGGAAATGAGGCTAATTTGGCTCCAAACCCTGTTTATCCCTTTGTCTCAACACAGTGGGTTCAGACCCTGAATTTGCACGCTACGTGGCAGGAGTGAGCCAGGCAATGCAGCAGAAGCGGCAAGTCCAACATGGTCGCCGTCCAGGCAACCCCCGTGGACACTGGCCACCCATGGATGATGCCCATCGGACCTGGCCTTTCCCAGAGTTCTTCACAGAAGGGTGAGTGCTGGGTGTGGCAGTAAAGCTGATTTGGGGATCTGGGCGTCCCCCATGGGGCCTTTGTGCACTCTTATTAAGTAATTCAATTCCAAACCCGAATGTGAGAGTGACAAATGGTCAGATCTTCAGGAGGCAGAGTTTTGTGATTGACTGTGGCATTCACGGTGGCATAAAGTGCCCCTGTGAATACACCATTGGTATAAAATTAATTTTCTAGACAGACTCGTCCACTCTAGACAAGAATCTTATTTGATAGTATAAAGAAATTGCATGTTTCACAAAGTTTTTATGCTGAAATGAGCATGTCTATGAAACCCATGTGATTTATGGAATGTGATCCTTACCATTTACAAACGGTAAAGGTATATGGTTCAGATTTCAATGAAAGGAGAGAATTCTGAATTTTCATCATAAGGACAACTGGGGATTGGTTTTTCACATCTCTTATTGCTACCTGGTTAAGAAATCTGGACAGCTGCTCTGGCTGATTTGGCTCACTGAATAGAGCATCGACCTGTGGACTGAAGGGTCTTAAGTTCGATTCTGGTCCAGGGCATATACTTCTGTCTCTCCCTGGAATCAAAAAATTAAAAGAAAGAAATCAGGACAGCTAAAGACCACCTCAACTTTTATTTGCTCTGATGAACTTTGTACGTAAACCACAGGTTTCTGAGAGGAATAAAGGGCAGTGATGCGTATGTATTACAGTTGAACATCACAGGGGTTAGAGGCACCAACCCACCATGCAGTTGAAAATCCACACAGATTTAAGTTGATTGACTGTATACATGGGTTCCTAACCATGGAACAAAACTACAGTTGGCCCTTAAAGCAGGTTTGAACTGCACAAGTCACTTGCATGTGGACCTGCATATAAGAGATAAGAAACCACTATTTGAGCCGAAACCGGTTTGGCACAGTGGATAGAGCGTTGGCCTGCGGATGAAAGGGTCCCGGGTTTGATTCCAGTTCAAGGGCACGTACCTTGGTTGTGGGCACATCTCCTGTGGGAGGTGTGCAGAAGGCAGCTGATCGATGTTTCCAACTCTCTATCTCTCTCCCTTCCTCTCTGTAAAAAAAAAAAATAAAATATATATATTTAAATATATTTTATTGAGCCGAGACCGGTTTGGCTCAATGGATAGAGTGTCGGCTTGGGGACTGAAGGGACCCAGGTTCGATTCCGGTCAAGGGCATGTACCTTGGCTGCAGGCATATCCCCAGTAGGGGGTGTGCAAGAGGCTGCTGATCAATGACTCTCTCTCATTGATGTTTCTAACTCTCTATCTTTCTCCCTTCCTCTGTACAAAATCAATAAAATATATTTTTATTATATAAAATATATATATATATTTATTGATTTTTTACAGAGAGGAAATGATTTAAGGACAGAGAGTTAGAAACATTGATGAGAAAGAATCATCGATCAGCTGCCTCTTGCACACCCCCCACTGGGGATATGCCCACAACCAAGGTACATGCCCTTGACCAGAATCGAACCTGGGACCTTTCAGTCCGCAGGCCGACGCTCTATCCATTAAGCCAAACTGGTTTCGGCAATAAAATATATTATTAAAAAAAAAGAAAAGAAACCACTATTTGAGCAGAGCGTAAAGACTTCTTTTAGAGCTTGTTTGGGCTGCCGGTGTCCAGGCTGGCTGCAGGAGGCCCAGGACCAACTTCTCTCTTTGGCTTTCAGGGATGGCCTGCACAGTGGCTGGTCGGGTACTCAGGGAGATTCAGCCAGCTCGAGTGATGAGACGTCCTCTGCCAATGGCGACAGCTTGTTCTCCATGTTTTCAGGGCCTGACCTCGTTGCTGCTGTCAAGCAGAGAAGGTATGAAGAGATTTCTAAATAAAAGGACAGGGGGCACGTGAATGTGATCCACAGCTCAGTCCTCTGGAAAGCTCAGGAGCCCATTGTTCCCAATCTGCCTTGTGTGAAAAAGGCAGAGGACCTTTTCCCACACTGTCCCACAGAGGCCACCACACAGGCTTGTAGTCCAGGTGACTTAACATTGGGCTGAGTTTTTGCTGGCAGAATAGTCTCATGCCAGTGGAAGTCAAAATACTCCAGTACATCAGGCAAGGGAGAATTCTGAGACAGGGTTTGCCTCTGTTGGTCTGTGCCTTGCAGGAGACAGACTTGGGGGGGGAGGGGGGTGTTCAGGGTGGGGGAGAGCAGGACCAGGACAAGCAAGTTCTAATCAGGACTCCCAGCAGGCTTTGCAGCTCCAAACAAAAAGCTGACCCTCAGTTTCCTTGTGAAAGGTAGGTCTGGGTTAAATGACATCTGACTGATATTTCAAAATTGAAAAAAATAGTAATATAGTATATTCAGATCTAAGAAGTTTAGATCTCATATTTAAATGGATCCTAAAATAAGAGGAAAATTTGGTTATAGAGAAGTAAAGAGACTTCGTGGGTGTGAGAAAGCAGAGGCCCAGAAGTGGCAGTCTAAAGGATGTGGGCAGGAAATAGAACGCAGGGCTGCCTGGGCGTCGGGAGTCATGCTGCGGAGAGGAAAGGGAGGCCAGGTTACACGGCCCTTGTGTGACAGTTGGGCTTGGTGGATAAGCAATGGGAAGCGAGTAGGTGAGTCAGAGTTGTAACAGTGATAATGACAGTGATTCCTAATACAAGCTAAGCCCCAGGTAAGCATTTACATACATTTTCTCACTCAGTTCTCGCAACCACTGTATTTTTATTTGCTAGGGCTACCATTACAAAGTACCACAGACTGGGGGCTTAAATGACATAAATTTATTTTCCTATAGTTCTGGAGGCTGGAAGTCTGAGATCAAGGTGTCAACAGGGCTGGTTTCCTGGGCTTGCAGACTGCTATCTTCTCCCTGTATCTTTATGTGGTCTTCTCCTGTGTGTGTCCATATCCTAATCTTCTCTTCCTAAGAGGACAACGGTCACATTGGATTAGAACCCACCCTAATGACTTCACTTAAGCACCTTATCTCTAAATACACTCACAGTATAAGGTATTGGGAGTTAAGATTTCAGCCTATGAATTTAGAGTTAACAGATGAATTGGGGGGAGGAGGAGTGACACAATGCAGCCCATAGCAACCATCTTATATGAGTACTAGAGGCCCGGTGCACGAAATTTGTGCACTTGCTGGGGAGTCCCTAGCCTGGCCCGGGCCCTCTCACAGTTTGGGAGTCTTGGGGGATGTCCGGCTGACGGCTTAGGCCCACTAAGCCATCGGTTGGACATCCTTGGCATTGACACGGAGGTGGAAGAGGCTCCCACCACTGCCACTGTGCTCACCAGCCGTAAGCCCAGCTTCTGGTTAAGCAGTGCTCCCCCTGTGAGTGCACTGACCACCAGGGGGCAGTTCCTGCATTGAGTGCCTGCCCCCTGGTGGTCAGAGCGCATCATTGTGACCAGTCATTCCACCATTCGGTCATTTGCATATTAGCCTTTTATTTTGTAGGATTGTTTTACCCCCAGTTCATAGGTGTAGAAGTTGACACTCAGAAAAGTTAAATTCATTCATTCATTCCTTCCTTCATTCATTTGTTGGCACCTATCATGTACCAGGTACCATAATGTAACGGCAAATAAAACAAAATCCCCTCCTTGTGGAAGGTACATTCTATTGTAGGAAGGCAGATTTAAAACAACAACAAAATATGTCAGGTTAGGTTAGATGCTATGAAGAAAAATAAAGCAGGGTTTTGGGGGCAGAGTGCAAGGGTCAGGCGGATTTTCTGTTTTCAGAATGAGAGTCATGAAGGCCTCTGATGAGCAGAAAGCTGAACACAATGAGGGAGCAACTGGTGAGGTATTGGCAGAGGGGTATGTGTGAGAGAGAAGAATCAAGGATTATAGGCAAGTTTTTGGCCTGAACAATCTATCTGTGTGAAAGGGGGTGCCATGAACGAAGACTGGGAGGACTGCAGGAGAAGCAGGATGGAGCCAGGGTGGAGTTTAAGACCTCTGTTTGAGACATGGGAAATCAGGAAGGCTGGTTAGACATCTAAGTCACCTATAGCACTACCTCTGCAGAGACTGCTGTCTCATGCAGGAGCGCGGATAGACTGCGTTACCTGGCTCTGAGCCTGCTACATCCTGCCTTTTTTATTGTTATAACAAACTTCATGTCAGTTGTGAAACTTAACAGGCTTTTAGTTTATAGTCACATATCCACATTGCATGGTAAATAATATCTGTCGAATAAATTAACAAAAGGCCGTAGATGATGGACTCAGAGAGCAGCTGAAAGGACCAGTATTTGTCCTCATGCCTGCCACCCCTACTCTATCCCAACCCTGTGATGACTTGCAGGAATGCAGCATTTGATGGTGACTCACTTTTTCCCCTATACACTGTGTATCCAAGCACGTCTCCACACACCCACCTACAATCAGTGCCCCAGAATGCCAGAGACAAGTGATAAGGGCCCCCTGGAGGTTCGCTGGACAGGAAACAAGGCAACCACTGCCCTGAGCTCTTGGTTCTTTCAGGAAACACAGCAGTGGAGAGCAGGAGACCGGCACGCTGCCCTCGCCGCCTCTTCTTACCACGGTGGATGATGTGAATCAGGTACTGGGGGCTCTGCTCTGGCCATACCGCTGGCTCTGTTGGATTCAGACCATAAGCAAGGTTCCAAGGTTGAAGTATTTTTTTCATTTTTTATTTGCTCATTTATTTCATTACTCTCATTCAAGGACATGTTTATTGATTTTTAGAGAGAGTAGGAGGAGAGAGAAACATGGCTGTGAGAGAGAAACTTTGATTGGTTGCCTCCCAAACTTTCCCCAACCAGGGATCAAACCCACAATCTAGGTATGTGCCCTGACTGGGCATTGGGGGAGTCGAACCCACAACCTCTTGGTGTATAGGACAACGCTCCAACCAACTGAGCCACCCAGCCAGAGCCCAAAGCTGAAATTTTAAGAGGGCATCAAAGAAATGATGGGATCTTTGTTTGTGAAGAACAGCTTTTTCCCCATAATTTTGTCTAAATGAGCAGCCAGCTCAGCTGACTCAGAGCCACATGTAGAGGAAGCTCGGGACTGTGCTGCCTGGTAAGGTAGACACTAGCCACATGTAGCTATGTGGATTGAAATTAATGTAAATAAAATTGAGTTCCTTGGTTGCACTGGCCTTAACAGGTGTGTGGCTGCTGCACTGAACAGTGCAGACCACATTCCTGTCACTGCCAGTTCTCTTGGACAGCGCTGTTCCAGGGCTGTGGGAGGGAGAGGGAGAGGCAGAGATCGGGGTGGTGGGAAAGATGATAAATTGCCAGAAATGCCACTAAAAACCTTCTTCTGTCTCTCAGGATAACAAAACCAAAACATGGCCACCCAAAGCACCCTGGCAACACCCTTCTCCGCTCCCCAGTACACTGCCCAACCCAGGTGCACCACTCTATGCAGTCCCCAGCCCTGGCAGCCAATGGAACGACACCATGCAGATGCTGCAGTCCCCGGTGTGGGCTGCAACCAGTGACTGCAGCACGGCCTCCTTCTCCTACGTGCAGACCCCACCACAGCCCCCACCCCCAGCAACACACAAGGCAGCGCCCAAGGGCTTCAAGGCCTTCCCAGGGAAGGCTGAGCGCAGGCCGGCCTACTTGCCCCAGTACTGACCCAGGCCTGCCTGCCCAGTGTCCCCATCCTAGGCCTGACAGCTGGCACCAACCCCCAGAGGACCAGTGCACCCCTGTCCCAGGCACAGATCCTTGGGGATGGGGTGGTTGGCAGCTCCAAGCCTTTAAGGCCTAGCTTCTCGAACTTTGGAGGCATCAGACCCCTGGAGGGCCAGCTGAAGACGGAGGTCTCTGACCCTCCTCAGGGAAATGCTGGATCTTCAAGCTTAATAAGCACTTCTGGTGATTCTGATGCAGTTGGGCCACAGGCCACACTCTGAGAAATAGCTCTCAAGTTCGTAGTCCCTCTGTGTGTGCTGGGAAGGCATCAGGCTGGAAGAATGACTGCAAAACTGACCATTCTTCTGAAACCTCTCCCTTTTTAACGTTAAGTGATGACCACACCAATCACTGTATTTTATAGCTATTTTTCATAGAGGTTTTCAGTTAAAACATCTCCTGCCTAAAATGCATTGAAGTTTTTAAGATAAAATAGCGGCTGGAGGTTTGTTCAACACTATTTTTATTTAAGCTTATACAAAATGGGCAACATATAGAATATTTCTGACCAGAAGCAATTACCTGGGTTTTCTGTGTGGGCAGCCCCTCACCACCCCAGCAGCACCCAGGGAGTGCAGCTTTTATTCAATTTACAAAAGCAGGATCATAAAACTGAAGTCGGAGGCAGAGGCGTATTCCTGATGGTGTGTGGAGATGAGCCAGCTGGCTGCTGTCTGAGGGACAAAGACACACCTGTTGCCCTCAGGTCCCTCCACACATGGCCAGAGGTTTCATACGTCCCAGAGGTTGGGTGTGGTCAGGGGGCTGGACAGAGACACTGGCACTTGAAATTGCAGTAACTTTTATGAGCTGGCTCAAGACAAACCAATTAAGATATAGACAGGAATTAAAGTATTTTCTTTTTTTAAAAACCCACCTCATTTTCAGTTAACGTGCCATTAAATAGATAACATCCTGTGGATTTATGGATTTTCCAGCCAGAATGGATCCAGAAGAATTGAATGGTGCTTAAATTGAGAATTAATAATAAATATATCTATATAGATTAGACATCCCACTGTATATTAATTGAGGTTACAGAAGTTCTTTATATAAAACTTATTTAAATTTTTCATATTTCATCTTTGAAAAAGTCTAATTGAGAAAAATCTGTAATATTTTCTGGTATGAAAGTTTGACAGTATTAATATTTTTTTTATATTTTCTTAAATCATTAAACCATTTTAATATATGTTAACTACTAATAAATGGTTTATTCTTTCTAACTCCATATAACCTTTTCCAGCAAAGATTGTAATAACACATTTATGTTCTCATTTTTCTACAGATATAAGTAAATTTATATTTTAAAAATACCAAAAAGAAAAATATATATATATATGTCTGTATACACACTAATTATAGAGGGCCCTGAGGGTGTCTGAGCCCAGCCGCCTGAATTCTCAGTACCGTGTCGCCAGGCTACTTCCAGGCCCGGGTGTTGTCCTGTGCTGTGTGGGGATGCCAGTGCTGCCTGTACTTATGATCCTTTCCCCGTGGGTTCTGAGCATTCACCTCACCATGTTTACAGAGACTATTTTGTACATAAACTTTTTCAGGCATGTGCTTTGCACCAACCCTGCGTGGCTCTTGTCTGTGTTAGCCGTCACAGTGTGTGCACTAAACTCTGTTGAAGTTGTCTGTGGCTTTTGACTTGTAACATAGTTTTCTATTTCCTTCAGCAATGTGTCCACAGTACCCTGTATTTCAAGTTCTGATATACTGAAGTACTCTTGTTTTAATAGTGCCTCCCCAAGACCTCACCCTGGTCAGAGGTCAGTCCTTGATGCCGCAGCACAGCTGACGTCAAATTTGCTGATTGTCCAATCTAGTCTGTTTTTCTTAAGACGTTTTTTAATTGCATCTCCATGGGCTGTGAGACTGTGTGAAGCTGTTTGTGTGGTCTCCTGGTAGGTGCTGGTTCTCAGCACCACCTCGTTCTGAACACTGGTAATCCCAGGTGCTGCGCTTGGCAGAGGAGTCTCCAAAGCGCGTGTGTTTGCGTGTGTGAGCGTGCGTGTCCTTTATGTGTCCAGCATGGCTGCCTTGCTCAGGCATCAGCAGGACATTGTGTGAGTAGTTACAATGCTTCCAAACTGGAACTCTACATTTTGTATCTTACTTTTAAAGCTCCTATAAGTAAATTAACTATTGGCTTTATTAAAAATATACATTTAATAATATATTTTGTATGTCTGTTTAAAATGAACTGCAACAGAAACCATGTGAGAAGC